CTCCAAGGGAAGTAACGCACTTGTCACTTTTGAGTTGCAGGTGTCCATGGGCGGCGGTAGTTGCTTACCATCAGGTGACCCGTCTGCTCGTTTGCCCCCTTATACCATAAAAAAAGAGCAATCGTCGAATGAAGTAAAGTAGCTTAGTCATTACGTCGTTTGTAATCAGTATGCTACCGCTTTTAAATAAAAAGTTGGCAAAAAAAGTCACGATTCATTTTTTACTATTAACTGTCGTAAAATGGTAACTGTGGTACCTTGAGAGCAAACTATCTAATACCAGTAGGTATTATAAAAGAAAATCGTTTTTTTTAAAGCAACTCCTGCTTTAGGAATAAATAACTAACAAACACACCTGAAACGGGCACAAAGAATACCCAGATTCAGGAACAATAATTTGTGGATCACACAAAGGGTTCCCATGTGGGGATCGGACCCACAACTCTCATCGTAGTAGTAACCGACGAGGTGACCGCTTAAACCACTACGCCATTCGTGCAGTCATGCATTCGAATAACCAGTTCGCTGTTGTTATTTGCACTCTCATTTATTGCACATTAAAGATGTCTTTGTGTTGGTATTTTTTGAAAACTAATAAGGAAGTCATCGTTATCACTACAACAAGACATAAGATAATTGAAATGATTCGAGCATCAGCTATCAGCATACTAATAAAAAACCAATAAGAAAAAAAAATACAAATTTATCTGTTAGGTATAGCCTTATTTCGCTTTTTCACCTTCTAAAATATAAACCATATAATATTCACCTGCCAGTAGAAAGAGATGCACATGAAACCAATAACTTTCACATGCGATGAAACTTTAGCTTAAATTACATTGTAATATGAATTTTTAAACAAAACAAAAATTTGATGAGTAAAATTCTAATTGTGCCAGAGTATTTCTTTTGAAATATAATTGTGCCAGAGTATTTCTTTTGAAATACTCTGCCACAATTAGATTTTTACTCCTTGGAGAATATTTTTGCTAATATGGACCCACCTTGATTTTATTTTGAAGAAATTTAAATATTGTAGATCGGGGTGTCGTCTCAAGCATTGATCAAACAATCAGTAAATTAATGTACTGTTCAGTTTAGGCATGGGACAAAACCACACTGAACTGCGAAAGATCGGTGATTTATGATTCAATTTTTTCGTACGTAGGTTAGGGTTACTACTTACTTACGTTGTTGCAAATTAGCAATTTTCAGACGATGCATAAAGACCCTATTTCGCCTATTTAACAGTAAATCTAGTAATTATTTTATTTTATATTTCTACCATTTTCTACATAATAATTAAAAAAATACTAGATTTACTGTTAAATATCATCTAACCTACCTACCTAGCAACACATACGCAAAAATCGAATGATAAATCACAGTTCACTGTGATTTTATCCTAGTTCAGTTCATATCCCTTTAAAACCTCTGAGGTTGCTAGTATTTTGTAGTAAGTTTTTTTTATAGTTTTTGTAAACGTGTGTTATGGCATTTCGATATAGTTAAAAAACACAAATTAATTTGATATCTTCTTTCAAAATAGTACGAGACCACAATTTTGTTGTGCCCTGTTCAGAGCATTTTTTACGCGTTAATCGGAAAAATGCTAGACATTGTGCTATATAGTATGCAGTATAAAAGTATGCATAAATGTATGTATAAGGCTATCTAGTATAAAAATCAGCTGTGATTGCAAAAAATTAACAACAATTGTGATAACGTATTATGCCAATTATGGGTGCCAGATTATACAATCCAAATTTTGTTATGGTAGAAACAGTAACTGAATATTTTTAAGTGTCCAATATTGCCATTAAATAATAAGCTAAAGTAAATCAACTTCAAAATAAACAAAACACATTTTAGAAACTAACATTTCAATTCCCACTATCTTTAATAGTTACAACGGTATCAAAACCAAGGTTGACCCCAAATTGAAACAGTCACCTGCACTGCCCAGGTGCGCGAACGCAATTAATATAATCATCTAATAATAGATACTCTTCGCAATAATAATTTACTTATTTTATCGATCGAAATAGAAGAATATTAAAAGCTTTAATCGCAAACTGACTAAAATATATTGTCTACTTCGTCGCGAATTTCAAACTGTTAACATTTATAGGGGAATTCTTTATCTTAATTGAAAATGAGACAATAAAATAAAAGATATATCGATGTATTTATTTATAAGGGGTAGATATTAATTGTGTGAAATATATTTGAAATGTTATCGTAGTTTATTGGGCACAGGCAATTTAAGACACCTGAATTTCCTATGGGAACTGACCATCGTTGACGTTCTCGTTTCAAATGTGCACTTTATCTTGGTGGACTTAATGGACTTACTAACTTTTTCGATAATTTATTATAGCCCATAAAACACTTTCTATAATTTAACAATATTGTCATTAATTTATTGCTATGATGAAAGGTAAATAGGCCCTACGAAATTCTTAAGTTAATCACTTACTTGCTTATGTCTGCTCTTTGTCCCTTATATAATAAAAAACTCTGAAGGGATTTTAATGTTTATTGTAGGCTATCATTTGGATTCTGTTAACATCACTTTACTCTTTTCTTAAAATAACAATTGGCATTGCCATAAGATTATTAGCCAGTTATTGTTGTCAAACTTTGTAAAAGCTGTAAATGTAAAATCATTCATAACGATTTCATGTTTCATTTCACGTACATTGCAAACCCATTAAATGAATACACATAACATAAAGCGCACTCGAACTTCAAATGTAAATTTTTCCACCAGCCAATATTATTTACTTTTTGAATTTCACAGCTAAAATTATTATGGCAACTAATATTTAATTAAATATTTATTAAAATAAACTACTAATATCCAAGAACTAATATTAACTTAGCTTGGCCACCGAACCCAAAGCATGGCCATAACAAAATGGCATTACGTAATATTGAATTACATAGACACTTATCTACCTCCATACATAGAATTACGGTCGTCGATCGAGTATTTTGATTAGCCATCGTTTTATTTTTAACCGTCAAAGCAGTTAAATTTATCGTGCATTTAATCCTCGCCGAGGAGTTGAGGAGCATGCAAATCAGCGCATACTAGCACGAGCCATGCGGGCGCCCCGCTTACCGCCTCACCGCACTCGAGGAGATGTGGGTTTTATGGCTAATTCTACTAAATAAAATTGTCTACAGGATATCTGAAAAGCGACGAGACATGCTCAAATAGAGAACTGTAGAGAGTTATCCATCTGACATTCGAAACAATTATAATTGTGTATTGTAATGTGAAAGAATTATAATAATTGAACTTTTGTTACATATAATATTTGGATTTATCGATAAGTTATACTAAAATGGATCCCATTTAATTTTAATAATATAGGACTAGCGGCAACAGTGAAAAGCTATTATTACAGGCGAACAGAGTTATGTTATTTTTGATTTCAGATATGTTATCAGATATCCTAAATGTATTTAGGATTCATTTATCACTATTCATTTAGGATTAAAACCTGGAGAGTAACAAATAGAATTCAATTTAGTCACAATTCAATTTACAGCCACGTTCAAAGAAATTTATACGTGAAAATGGGCAATTGTTGGCAATATCTGCCAATGGGTGTTATCTAAGATAACTGTTTATGTTTGTTAAGGGGTACATTTATTTAATTAATTTTTCGATAGATATCGAATAGTCTTATTAATATCTTATACTTGCCAAGTATAAGATATTAATATAGCCTTGCCAAGTATAAAATATAATAAAGAAAAACACATTTTTCACTAATATTTTTAATACTATTTTTTTTTAATTTGATCTGATTGTTACCCTACATTTTCATAAAGTTAATATTTGTTACTGCTTTTTCACTGTCACTATTTAGCTCTAACATAAATCCTTACGTCACTGTCATTTTACCCCATAGTCCCTAGCTTCAAGCTGTAGAGTTCAATGTCAGAGGTAGGGTCATAGCCGCGGTTGGGCCATACGGGCGACTGCTAACGACCAAACACATTTGTTGTTGTTTGCTTTACAGTGACTTTCACTCACACTCATTGTGAACCATAGTTAATATATTTAAAAAAAAGTAATTTGAAAAAATTTTGCACAGCCAAAATTGACCATGAATTATATTTATAATCCGTGTAGGGTGCAGCACAATGAACCCCATCAACCGAAAAATGATTAACTAACGATTACACTGACGGATGGGCGGCGCGCGCACTGGCTTCTCAAAACCACAGAGCTTAGTATCTTTTACAACGAAACTATGTATATTTATTTTCGAATTAATTCAAATACATTACACATGAAATAAATACAGTATATAAAACATGTAATATAGTATCAGATAGATAGTATACAGTATGTCAGATAGTATTATTGACAAAATGGTTTTATTTTTCTTAATCGTTTCGATATTCAAACTATTGAGTTTAGAAGTTTCCGAAATGTTGTATAGGACAAGAAGCCTAGATTTAAACAAATAAAGATAGATCATATAAATCTAGATTTTTAGAAGTGATTGATAGTCTTTATGTTTTGTTATTGATATAGCAGATGTATCGACCAAAAAAGTTTATCTCTTAGAAATTGCTTCTTTTTCATAGTTTTTATAACGTATTAAAATTATCAATTTAAGAACTACCGCCGTTCATGTTGTTCTGTTATTGTTGGATCAAATATCTCTTTTTAATATGTTTATTAATATTTTACACATTAAAAAGAGGTATTAGATTTTCAAGTCACTGGTAGGTATAATACTAGGTTTCGTCTTAAATTATTTTATTTAAAAAAAGTGTTAATGCTACTGTTTTTTTTTTGGTGTTTTTGCTTGTGTATTTAATTCCTAATTTAATAATTAAATTATTTATGTTGAATGTTATTAACATAACAGTCCACAAAAATAGTGCTAATACAATTTGGTAAATACGGTTTTATTTGGCGATATAAAAGCATAGCCATCGTTTTATTTCCCGATTTGTTCAATCTTATGACATCAAGACATTAAATTTGAATTGTTCAATTTTTTCGGTAGAGTCCCGTACTGTAAACCCTCTTTAAGTATTGTAGGTCTGTAGTTTACAGTTTTATCCCTGAGTGAACAGCGCGCGCGATGCGCTGCACCGTCGCACGTGCCGCGACATATGGCCACACGCGCCATACTGTTTGTTCGCCAATCATAACGGACATATTTCATCAGATAACGGCCCACCGCCTCCAACATATTGCCTCAATTTAAAACAATGTGTAACAATTAAAATGTCGACACTTTACCGGAATTTATCTCCGAAATTCGTCATAGCTTTCATCAAAGATATATTATGGATAGCTCATAGAGATGATAATTTTTATGATTTATGTTGCAATTCTGATGATGATGATGATGATATGATATGTAACGATCACAAATCATTTTCCTGACAGCCTCTTTGGCAACAGAGCAGAAAGAGTCAATTCAGATCATTTCTTAGCGTGTGTAATACATTTTGCTAACTTATTTTACGGATCCGTTGAAGGACCATGTATCAGACCAGACACCAATCTACATTCCGGGATTCCAACAAAAAAATTGTAGACTGAAAAACCTAAATAGCGTCGTATTTTTATTCTTGTTTACTATTATAATTAACTAGCTGTACCCAGCCACGCTTCGCTGTGGCACATTGTGGTTGCATTGATGAGAAAGGAAATTAAATAACTAAACAGTTTTTGAAACATTTTGTATATCGCGTCAAAATTTTAGCTCGGTGCAGCACTTTTTGAATTTTTGAAGCGTACACAAACCAACTTAACATTTATATATATATAGATTTTCTTGTAAAGTAGCAAAAAACAGCATTAACATTTTTTTTTAATTAAACATATGGGTATTAATTCTTTACTTTTACTAAAATTTAAATAAATACGTAAATTTTATTTCGTCTTTTGAATACAATAGAAATTTATTGGCAAATTCAACAGAACCATCACATGTCTGTTACGTCGTGTTTAGATAGAAAGATCTACGACCATGTTACTTGAAGAATATATATGTAGTAACTTTGTTTAAATATGTACGAGTACCAACTTTAAGTAAAGACATCAACACTATAACATAGCGATCAATAAGTAACGAATAATAAAATTAACGTAGTATTTTTGCGTGTTGATTTGTAACGGTACATACATTTCTGGTTTTAAGTATTAACAATTATCCTAACACCGTATTTGACATTGACGTTGCGGCCCCCGACCCCCGGTTTCATTGAATGAGACCAATTGATGTAACCTGCAATTTAGAACAACACAAGCGGGACAGGCGCATGTCGATCGCCATATGGCGTGAATCCAATGCCGATTTGATGGATGACTATCAAACTTTATAGCTACATATTTATACAATCTAAGATAATTTGCTACTGGATATGTATTTTACACAAGTTCTTTTTTTGAACTCCGTTGATGGATTCCTAACTATATCACGTTCCTTCTTGAAAATATGTTTGTATGGGTCTACCTTGATTCTACCGTTGGCACTATGCGTTTATCAACTTGCCGAGTAGGTTACAGAATTACACCATCTAACAATGTAAAAGAATATGGATATTGGAATGATTCAGTTATAGGAAATCCCTCGTGTTTGGGAAATTGGACTATGAGGAGTTAAGAACTTTGTTTAATTCAGTTAGCTTTTTAACTAAAACTTATATTAGAATAGAATATAGAATTTTTTATTACAATAAAAATTTATTACAATAATGTTAAGTCATGAGACTGATTAGATGGGTTTTAAATAAAAAGAACTTTCCTTCATTTAATATAGAACTTTTGATAAATTCATTTAAACTTTATTGATGATTGGACTGTGACATCAGCAGCTTTAAAGATTAGCCAAGATTATGATAGAAAAACCGACTGCCTCACAATACCCGATAAAACAAATGTCCTATCCAGTAAAACATTATATCATACGTCCCTCATAAGACTTTTTTGAATAACGAAAAACTGTCTTCGATTTTATAAAATGTGTCGCTTTTATTTTACCGGTAATATGTATGTTAGGAGAAAGTTTTTTTATTTTATGAAACACTTATGTTTGTTTGTTGCGTATGTATGTTCCTGCTTTGTTATCCCAATACACTGGTGCGTTTGAACTAGAAACCATCGAAAATAGAAGTATAGAAATAAAAGTACATGAGTAAACGTAACCTGTAGTATAATTTGTATTTTAATAAATAATGAAATATTTCTACGCCAATTAATCTGTTATTAGCTATTTCATCATGCGGAAACCGAAGCCCACAACCAATACCAATCAATACAACCAATAGCTATTTCATCATCCGTGGACCTCCTTAAGTTTTTTTTACTTTTATCATTATTAATACAACAAGTTTTCAACTCTCATAAGACGAAAATGCGTTGAGAGTGAGAAGATCAACCTACCATGCTTATTCATTTCGTTGCTACCCAACAACTTTTAGTCGCACAATTTTTTTAATCACGACAATTAAAAATTCGGACTATAGGTTGTACACAATCTTTTGTGTGTATATAATTTAAATCGCATAGACAAAAACGTGTAAATTTGTGTTCCTTATGTAACTATTTCTAAAGTTCATCTAGATTTATTGTTTTCTAATACTTAATTCTTACTTTTGCTTAATGATTTGCAGTATGTAGTCCAATCAACTTTTTGTTTTGTATTTGGTTTTGATTTCACGATTCTTGGGTCAAACTTATTGCCAAATGTGAAGACAGCGTGACAGATTGAACTTTGCTTAATTTGCCTGAGTTTATTGTAGTTGTACTTTTTTCGATTTGTGTATTGGTAATTTACATACTATGTATAGTACATAGTAACATACCATACCATGATAGAAGTACCATTTAAGGTCATATTGTGAGTTTCAAGACTGACTACTCGTGGTAGATGCTTAACACACTACTATTATATGGATTTATGCTTTAGTTATACTTTGTTAAGTTATTTTAATTTTGTTTCTTCCCTAGCGTAAAGATTTACGGTAACGGTAAAAAAAGAAGAAATGCTACAAATTTCATAACTTTTTTTTAACATTAAAAAATGTTTTTTTAGAATTCAACTTTCAACAACTTTATCGCGTGTTGTTTCTTTAAACACAATCAAACAAAACCATCATTAGCTTCATTAAACATATTAAACTTATTGATCTATATTTATACAATTTATGTAGGCTATAATTATTAATTTCAGTTTGTGCATTTTAATCACGAATTATTTTCTGTACACTTTCGTTTTCATCAAGTAGTTCAGGCATCGGATTTTAATTAAATAAATAAAGACATTAAATTTATTTGCCTATTTTTTTATGCTAAAATATGCTTAATTAACGTTTAAATGTTGTTTTCTGTTGCATATTTTATTTGACGGACAAGATATTTAGCCTTAATGTGCTACAAACTGCCGTAAAGTAGTAAAAAGAAGTTACTGTCGGCCGGAATACGGAGCTTCTTCAGCTTGTTTGGTCACAATCTTTACTAATACCGAACACATAATGCCCTTCGAACGCAGGTGTTTGTATTAACCGTACTTAAAACATATTTTTATGAGCTCTTCCTAGTTTAAGTACAGGTGTAAGCGGCTTCCGTCTATTATTTAAATGTAAAATATCAAAGCTGTGTTCAATTGCAGGTTAAATTTGTAGTAAATAAATTAACATTATTACGATATAAAAGACATCAAGCATGTGTGGAATTATACAAATAAGTACGTATGTATTTAGCCGTTATTAAGTCTATTTCAGCAATGTTGAGAGGTATCCAGGCTTTACAGGTTCTAGACATAAACTCATACCAAGCATTTCTGTCTGGCACGATGCTGACGTATTGTTATGCTCAAATATACCTTATCATATTTAAAGAAATTTTAGTTAATTGATTAACTAACATAATAATAATAATATCCTCCAAATCCTGATCAGTACACTACCGACGTGAACCCACTCCTAACACAAGCAATTTAGCTTAGCGGGAGGGGTTAACGGGAATACTAATAATTTCGGTTGCTAGTAGACTTTAAAAAAAAAACACACACCCACTTTTGAACATCAAATATTTTTTTATCTCAATTTTATGTATGATATATGAACTCACTTATGACCTAACCTTATAACTAACTTAGATTGAAGATTGAGCGTCATATTTCTATGTTAGTAGTATCCAATAAACCTAAATGAAGAGAAAGAATGGAAATAATGTGAAGAGTCTTCCCAATGGGTGTAGTCTTCATGAATCTTTTTGTTTAATATCAAAACGTAAGAGGCGGTGCCTTTTGCTGTTGTCAAATCATTGATATTCAATATGGAGATATACTTATAGAAACAATAAAAACATTAAATTGAAAATGGAGGACAGTTCAGGCTGTCCTTTAAGATGTTACAATTAATGATTCAGGCGAAATCATTTATTTCAAATCTAGGAATCTACCCTGTTGTCTTTAAAAACACTAAGTAAGGACTTATTTCTGTGATTTTATTAAAACATTTAAAAATAATTTAATTGCCTATTACATTAGTTACTATTCCTAAGTAGTTATTTTAAGAGTTTTAATGGATTCATTATAATACTTATAAAAAATTTGCCGGTTAATGAAGGAAAAGCATCTGGCACTTTAAACAAGTATCAACGTTTATCTAAGCTGTTAAGAAATGCAATAATAAAATTCATTATATCTAGAATTGATAAAAAACACATCTTTCTTTTGATTTAATACATTTTTAGTGTTTTTTTTATTATAACTGTTTTTACGTAATAGTAAATCCGACAACAACAGAAATCTTTTATTTGTTATACTCATCTACGAGTAGTTACTTGACAAGGGTTTCGTTTAAAAGGATATTTTAGATAACAAACACTTTTGTAGCTGAATAAAAATAATTATGTTTGAAATATACCTAAGAATGTTATATGTTCTAATAAATAAATTTAAGAGATTTTCTACAGAACTGAGTACCCATTTAGATTTCAAATCTTATGTCGGTATAGTCGACAGCCTTTATCTATAATTTGTTACATACAAATTTAGAAATATATAAGAATGTCCAACAACGATCTGGTTTCCACGGTACAGGCTTTGCCTAGTGTGGGACCAGACGGCCGTGTGTGAAGTGTATAAAGTTATTACATATATCAATTATCATAATATTGAACTTTTAACTTTAATAACTCTATCCCTGATGTGGTGACTGACCAACTGAACAACAG